CTGCTTGCTGCTTGCTGCTGCTGCTGCTGCTGCTGTACTGCTGCAACTGCCGCACGATTTCTAGCATCACTGCTTAAACACAGATTCAACTTTTCTGGCTCTTGGGCATGTGCGACGATTCCTAAATGTCTTCAGAAATCGACGATTTCGCTGTTTTTCCAACACTCAACTTTTGGGTCCATGCCAGACTTCTGGGCATTCTTCATCGACGATTTCTGGTATCACGAAAAGACTATGTACTCAAGCTCAAGGTGAGAAGAGCAAGACCTCGAGACCAAGTCCTCACGCAATATAAGATAAGGGAAGATAACACCAGACAACAGAAGATAATACACGATAATAGTACAGTATAAGATACGAAAAAATATGGCAATGCAGTTGCAAGCATGCTTCGCTGGCATCTTTCGCAAATATCGTTTTCAAGCTTGCTTGGCTGCCCGGACTCACAAGTAAAATCATTTTATTTCCTAAACATCGAGTTTGCCCTCTAGCTTGAAAGATCGGATGGGATGTTTAGATTGTTTCCGGAGGTCCGACGAACTTCCTCGGCTGAGTCGGTTCGGTCGTCCACTACAGCTGCTCGCAAGCAACATGCTATTCTTTTTTGCCCATACCTGCGCTGACTGCCCCGAGGAGGTGACGTCCGTCTTCTCCCGTTCCAGTTCAGAGAAGGCCCAAATTTCATGGCATCAGCTTATAGGTCTCAAAGACCAACCCTGGCAGCTTTTTTAGCGTCTCACCTCGAGAAGTGCGGCGAGGATCCACAGCCTTGCCTGCGATGGCATACACTTTCAAAACATATTCTGTTGCAGGGTCCGGTGGGAATCCAAGTCGAGGAGCATCTGGAGGCTTCCGAGTGCGGTGCTTCAGCACTTGTTTTTTGCTGCACTTGGCACGTGTCGTGTTCAACGCTTGAAGGGAACTTGCATGTCCGCATGTTCAGAAGCTAGTCTGTGCAGAAGGCAACGCAGGACGCATCAGAGTCTAACAGTGGGTGTGGTTGTGCATTTACTTCATGTACTACAGCTTACAACCCCCGCTTTCGACATATATAGATTGCTGCCGAGCCATGCAGCGGTGCCCTTAGCCTTGGAAGGAACCAAGTGGAAAGCAAGGGCCACTGGCGTTGGTGCAGCTCCTCACTTGGGCCTGGGTACAGACGTCGCGACGGTCAGTGATACGGCCAATGCAGTAGTACCGGGCGACGACTTGGAGAGTGACCAGCAACCTCAAGATGAGGCGCTTGTAAGCGCCCGCGCAAAAAATGGCGACAGCTGACTGTCGTCAGGAGCAGGCCCAGCATAGGGAGTACTATTATAAACTGTTACAAGCACTTTCAGGCCCAAAACTCCCAAAAAGGTACTCCCACGCTGCTGCCCGCATTCCTTTCTAGAGGTGAGCAGGCCCAACAAAGGGGGAGTACTATGTTCAGCATGTTCAGGCCCAGAAACTCCCAAAATGGTACCCCCACGCATTCCTTCGTAGAGGTCAACAAGCCCAACAACGGGGCTACTATTTTAAAGCATTTTCAGGCCCAGAAACTCCCAAAATGTCACTCCCACGCCGCTGCCCGCATTCCCCGTAGAGGTGAGCAGGCCCAACAACGGGAGTACTATTTTAAAGCACTTTCAGACCCAGAAACTCCCAAAATGGTACTCTTATGCCGCTGCTCGCATTCCTTCGTGGAAGGAATGCAGGCCCAACAACGGGAGTGCAGCACGTTCAGGCCCAGAAACTCCCAAAAAGGTACTTCGTAGAGATGAGCAGGCCCAACAACGGGAGTTCTATTTTAAGCATTTTCAGGCCCAGAAACTCCCAAAATGGTAATCCCACGCTGCTGCCTGTCGTTCTTCGTAGAGGTGAACTGCCTGCATTCCTTGGCCAGGTGACAGACAGTGCATTCTGTTATTCAGGATGTGCTTGCAGTGAACGCTGTTGTTCAGTTTGCAGTGAAACTAGGCAGGAGGAAAGGCAAATACAGAGGCCAACCTGGGGATTGACACATGTTCAAAAACTGTCGAAACCAAATACTTGACGTCTAGGCTGCGGAGCTGTGTCGTACTTTTGCAGCTGCCGTCGTCAATTCGGACAGGTGGCAGAGGGCGGACTGGAAAAGTCTTCAGAGGCTGTGCTGCTGTGCATTAGAGCAGGCCCAGAAAATCTGAAAATTTGTACTCCCACGCAGCTTGCAGGCCAAAAAATTCCAAAATCGTACCCTCGCGCAGTGCGCCCTCACCAAACTGTGCAAACCATCCGGTGAGGCGCCACCACTTGTATCGGGGCAGGCCATGCCTTCAGAGAAGGAATTATCACGCTTTCACTTCGTCTGCAGGAGCTTTTAGCCTCCCTTCGAGACGACAAGCTCAAGAAGATTGCTGCGCGTGTGATGGCACATGCGAAAAAGTTCATGGATGAACAAAGCGAGAATGTCCTGCTTCGAGATCTGTTCGAGCTGGCGGCGTGGGCTGTGCTCCGAGCAGGTTGCTGGAGCGAGACTGAAGCGCCGGTTCAGGCCTGCAAGATCTTGCGGCTGACTGCTGTCGCCCTGTACCAAGATGAACTTCCCCCCTTGGCGTGCGTGGAGCGTGTCTTCGTCTGGACTTTCGATGGAGGCCG